TTCTAGTAGTGAATACATTAATCTTAAATTGTTTAATGAAAAATCTGCTAAATGTGCCATTTTTTAAATCGACTAATAGTAAGAATATTTGACTAATCAAATAATCGTTAGTTGCAGCCCTAACACAGATATGTTAAAATGTGACTAACATCGTTATATACTGATGTTAATACCAAAATATCATGCATCCCTGCCTGAAATACACAATTGCTCCACAGCCTTACCTTGCGCTCTTGTTCCAGCCTGGACACTTTTGCACGAAGTTCGTTTTCTAGAAGAGAAAATAGAGAACATTATAAACATGCTGTTTTCATAAAAAAATGTGTTTTTCCATCAAACGGCGCGTGCTTACGAACCGGTTTTGACGTGTTGTACACCGATATCGTCGATGAAGCTTTCATGGAGCTTAACCTCACGCTCTTTCATCTAACAGGTGGAGACAGAGACGAGACTGAAGAGCTCAAACCAACCAACATCCATCACGTCTGTGTAACATCACAAGCAAGCACCATATGCCCTGACAACCATCACTAGCGGCGCTATAAACTACATATGAAATGTTCTTCCTTCTTCAAAAATAAATCACGCCCGTGAGCTTCCAAGCAGATGTGCACAGGAGAGAGCAGAGTGTAGAAACAACAAAACCCGACACCTTTAGCAGGGCCTGACCCACTCGGAGGACGCGGATAATGTTCTCCGTAGCTTTATCCTTCACCTCCCATTCTTTTGTCTGCATGGAAAACATGATTTAGTCGGAAAGACTTTCAACAGTGCATTCGCTAATCTAATAACATTGATGAAGTACATCTCTTGCAGTCGAAAACGGCGAGAGGTGAAACCAGAAATATATGTGTATACAAGGTTATAGCTGCATAGACATTTTTTTTCCTTCCTTTTTTTCCTTCGACTTAAGCTCAGTAACGATACTCAGATTTTATTGCTGAGTGAAGACTTCAGCAGATGTTGAGCTGCTGAGTCAAATGTAAGAACTATCCAGCAAGCGGCTGTGAAACTGCATAATGTTAAAAGATTAACAATGTGATATATATATATATATATATATATATATATATACACACATATGTGTGTGTGTGTGTATGCTTATAACAAAAACAAGACAACTTGATATACATGCATCATCTGTCACTCAAACTCAATCAGGCATAACATTATGACCATACCTGTATCAACACAAGATTTTGCAGAGGAATATAATCAGAACCATAACACCACCCCGGCCAGATTTCTTTAAGGAAACATGATTCACCACACCATAAAATCCCCAACATTGGGAAAAATAGCAGAAGAGCATCAGTTTCTAACGGGGGGTATTATGTATTTTCCATATATTAGTTTGTTTATAGCACAAAACTATATTATCTCCAGATATTATGAAAATGTACTTATTAAAAATAAATTTAAAGGAATTTGCCCTGAAATTTCCTCTGTCTCTTTAAGAAGCTCCTACCCTTTTAGACAACACCCCTTCCGGATGTCATCACAACAATGCTTCTCCATGATGCCGATTACAACCAATTTCAGAGTGTTGAACTGGGAAGTAGCTGGTATGATGAGCTCAGTAGAATGGCAGCTCCAGCAGGTCTTTGCCAATTGCTGCTACTGCTAATCTGGAGGAGCTGTGTGGGCGAGGCACGGGGAAAGGGTGCTCTGTTGGGTAGGAGCTCGGGTGGGGATTGAAGCTCCAAAAGAGGAGCTTAGGGTAAATAGGCAGCGTGTTGTATACTATAGGAAAGTCAAGGATTTATCAAAGATGCATGAATGAGCCAAAGGATCACCCTAGGTAAGCTTATGATGAGGGAATAACGCTAAGACATTAATTTATTATAATTTTTTTAAATATTTCCCTACGGCCAAAGCTCCTTGGCCATTTTTGGATTTTCAGGAGGTGGTCAGGTAAAAGCGAGGGCATATAGATAAATTGTCGTCTACCGGTCAGACTATTTTTTGTCAAACCATTGGATATCAGAGTGTTGTCTATTCAATTGTTGTATATCAGTGTTGTCTTTTAAATCATTGTCTGCCAGACTGGACCACACAGACCAGCCCTTGCTCTCGAGGGGAATCATAACCCAGGATTAGCCATGACTTTGTCTGTTCACTACCATTCCTTCTTTTAACCTATTTTGATAGACATCAACAGAGCCTGTATGGCTTTAGGAAGGCATGTCTTACAGATTTTACGGTTAAACACTCTACTGCATTGATTACATTAGTTATGATTTACACTAATCCCTTGTCAACTTTGCTAGAATCAGCATCATGTGTTGGCGTTGGTGGAAGTGAAGAATCTATCCAACATCCAGAGAGTTTGAATATTGTGTGAAAACCTTTCGATACATTTACTCTACTGGATACATTAATAACGTCATGATGATTTGATTCGACCACCAAGGACCAAAACAGTCCTCAACTCTGGCCAAGTCATCGTCTTGTGGGTTTCATCATATGCTCAAATTGTTACACTTGCCCATTTATCCACTTTGCAACACAAAGTGTGGAAAAAAATAGTTCACTTGCTGCCCAGTTTATCCCATAAACAGGGTTTATGATGAAGACATAACTGCCGTTCTTCACTCATCAGTTGTCATAATGTTATGCCTGGTCTGTGCATGAATTCAATTCAATTCAATTCAATTCAATTCAATTCAATTCAATTCATATAGATGAAAATGTTTTGAGGGAATGTTTTGTCCCTCAAAAAACAAGACAACTTGTTTTTCAAATGTTTTAACAAAACATTTAAGTTTTGTTAAACTTAAATGTTTAACAAAAACATTTAAGTTTTTGTTGAACTTAAATGTTTCAGACCACTAAAGAAATTTTAAGATCAAACCATTCTGGCCTTATGTGAAAAAACACCATTCCTTAAAGTCAGGAATTAACTGTCAACTTGCCTGGAATAAAAGAGTTTAACTTCACCAGCCACACTTATAGGTGATTACTGTTAAATGTGTCAAATCAGTTTATCACATCTATAGAAACTATCTGACAACACGAAGGAGGCTAAGATATCTCAGAAAAACAACACATCATGCCTCAGTCTAAGAAAAAACAGGAACAAATGAGAAACAAGTGATTGAAATCTATCAGTCTTTCCAAGCTGAAAAAACAATCTTGACCAAAGTGAAGACAAAGGTCTCTCATATTTACCAGAAAAAACCCACCTAGATGAACCCAAAGATGTCTGGGGAAACTGTTCTGCATAATAAACAAAGGCAGAACTTTGTGGGAGTAGTGCATTACATTATATCTGCTCTAAAACTAGAACAACACATCAGAAAAAGAGTATTATATTGAATTCATTCAGGCATGGTGGTGGCAGTGTGATGGTCAGGAACTTCTTTGCTAGTTCAGGACCTGGAGGGCTTTCCATTACTGATGGAAGCATGAATTCTGTTCTCTACCAGACAGTCTTGAAAAATATGCATCAGTCTGTGATCTTCAGTCCAACCACATTTAGGTTTAGACAGTGATCCAAAGCTTGGCAAAAAAGTCTATCCCTAAATGCACAAAGGAATGGAAACTTCTGGAGTAGCCTACTCAAAGTCTGGACAAAAATCAAATTGAGGTGCTTTGGAATGACCTCAAGCAAGATAGTTAATGCTCAAAAACTCTTCAATGTAAATAAACTAAAACAATTCGACAAAGAACAGAGAGCCAAGACACCTCCATAGCGACACAAACGACTCATTGCTGAGTTTCACAAACAATTGATGGCAGTTGTTGTCAAGGGTGACATAGTTTTCTTGGGAAACTTTTTGGTTTGTAAACGGTTGTTCATAATTGTTTAGGTTGCATCATTGCCCTCATTTTTTAAAAACTTTCCAACAGTCATGATGCGTAACTGTAGCAACAAAATCTTCTTTTTTTTTTATTATTCTACAACTGGTAGCAGCTGATTAGCATCTTAAAATCTCTAATACCTGAGCTATGACCAGTGACAAAAGCAAGGTGGATTAGCAGTGCTTGCTAAAAACTAATGGTGTCATCCTGGACATATTGTTTCTGTTGTCTGGAAATTGAGATGTTAAAATGTCATGACAGTCATGCGAGTGTCATACAACAAGACTTTACATAGAGGCATCTCAGGATTTGTTGTGAGACTGATTGTTACCAGAGATCCTTCCGACCCACAGAATCAGATCCACAACCTTTTGAAGATACTTAGATGATCTGAGATGAGACAAAATTTCATTCCATTTCAGAAAACAGGTGCTTCTGAACTGAACGGCGTAAGCAATTAGGACTAGGAGGGAATTAATTTTTTAGAAGGATCCAGGTTATATTAGATTGCTTTCACCCTTATTAATCAGAACTATGATTTAAAAGCTTATTTTTAATTTGCGCTGCTTAGTGATCAGAAACATTTAAGTGTGACAAACGGGCAAAAACGAAAACTGCGAGGACATATTTTTCAGTGCTTTCATTCCTCAAGCATGCGTTTTAAAATCAAGAAGGTAGAGAACACTGAGCATGTCAATATTATGTAAAATATAAACCATAAATAATTACCGCAACAAAAATGCGGAAGACTTCATCCAGTTCGTCTTTTTCACATTCATCAAGAGTCTTTGGATCAATTTTCGACACTTTATCCCATATGAGACCAGACGGCGGCATTTTGAACAAGGGATGTTTTTAAAGATTCGGTTAATTCATGTAGTTAGTAAGCTTACTGCGACAGAGCGCCTCCATTTGATTATATCGTCAATAATACATTATTACGGTTTTCAGTGGCATTATAGGGAAACAAAAGCAACTCTACTCATTGTTAAGAATGAACCGTACAGGATTTATATTTAAAAGCCTTGATTTAAAGACGCATTCAACGCATTTAGTTGAATTCAGTAGGGCATGTCAGACTTGACGGAAGCAAACCTGAGGTACACAGGTAGGGTAGAGTAGCAGCAAACATTTATCTTGAAAGGTCCATGTTGTAAAGCTCTGGCTGCTGCTGCTTGCTGCTAGGATACGGCTCACACAACAGCTACGTGAAAATAAAACAAACACGAACCGTGAGCTTTTGGTGGAACGAAAAAAAAAAAGTATGCGCAACCTCGTGGACAGCGCGAGCGTGTAACGTTAAAACAAATCAAGGCATTTTAATGCGGTTCTGGTCGCGCGGATGCTTTAAAACTTCAAACAAGCCACTGACTCTTTTTCCCCCCCACTAGCTTGGCTAATGTTTAACTTGCGCGGTCACCTCTGCACCGGAAGGGATAGCTGCGGTGCGTTTAAGCTAGTTGGTATAAATGAAATACTGTAAAACTCCGAGTCTTATGTACCGTCCTGAATTTTTATGATAAGTTTGACTGAAGCTCGTGTCTCTGCTCTTGCATTTCCTCGGTAAGGCAGAACTAAACTATTACACTTCCACCATTTCCAGTCTTTTTTAAGAGTAGTAGCAACCTAATTAGCATTGCCCGCTAAAGTTGCTAACGCAACGGGACATTAGCGAACCTGACATTTTCACAATACTCTACACTTTGTGATGTCACGTCTTTCAAAAAATAATGACAGCGTCATTTCTCGTTTAATTAAGCAACGTGTGCTGTTAATGAGTGACCTAAAGTGTCTGCTATTTTGATGGGTTTGACAGCACAGGTGTGGTTTGATTACTGTTTACACGAAATACTTAATTTCCCTACAAGTTCTCGACACTGAGATGTAGTATATCTGGTCTTTTTTTCAACAGTATAATCCTCTAATAAGATCATAGCGCATAACAACATTAGCAAGATGAAGTATTGTACTTCTGACATGCTAATATGTCAATATCCAGGAAACATAGACTAGATTTCACAGTAAATATTGTCTCCGAGGTGATATGTAGGCAACTTTGAGGTTTGGAATCATAGTTAAGGTATCATGTAAGCTTTTAAGATGGTAATCATCTTCATCTGGTTGTAAAAACAATGTATTTTTTACCCCAATTATGCGTCATATCAACTGTTCTAAAGTTGTTGTTTTTTTAAAGTAAATGCATAAATCCTCCTAACTCCACAACATCCAAATAATTGTCAGAAAAAATAAAAATATGAGCAAGAGTCTTCATAGAACATACTGCCACAATCATAGAATCAAGATGCATAGAGTTTTTTAATAGTTTGGTATTACTTTCGTATTAAATATGTGTTATTAATTACCTCCTATACATTTGTGTTTATGTTTGTAAAAAGTTGAGTTTGGTAGGATAACTCATTATTATCCTAAAAAATAAAACATTTTCTTTGAAGGTTTTTTTTAAAACTTAAGAGTAGCTTTTGTTGTCTTAGAATTTGAAGTCAGCCAGTATTGTGCCAAATAAAATACTCCCTGCTGTTCTTACATTTAATACCTTTCAAACCTTCTTTGTTTGTTTATCTTTTCTCTTCCACAGTGACCCATGACGGCTTGGGTCAGCTATGGCTGTCGTGTCATGGAAGGAGATGTTGCTTCTGACTGGGCTGGTGGTGGGATGCTACTGGAACAGTCTGTCATGCAGCTTTGTGTTTGACGACGTCTCGGCTATCCTCGACAACAAAGACCTCCGGCCCTCCACACCTCTCCGCAACCTGTTCCTCAACGACTTTTGGGGAACGCCGATGGCCGAGGCAAGTATCTGTTAAAGGTCTACCTCCAGCATACTTGGATATAGGTTAATTTATTGAATGCTGCATCTCTTTGCGGCATCATATTTTGGTTAAGTTTCAGTTTTGAATTGTAAAATGTCTACAGGAAAGGAGCCACAAGTCTTACAGACCACTGACGGTGCTCACATTCCGACTCAACTACCTCTTCAGTGAACTCAGTGCGGCTTCCTATCACCTGCTCAATATTGTTCTGCACGGAGTCGTCTGCATGCTTTTCCTGCGGGTTTGCCGACTGTTCCTGGACAAGACTTTCAGCTTGCTGGCTGCTCTGCTGTTTGCCGTGCACCCCATCCACACAGAGGCTGTAAGTTTGGATTGTGATTAGTGGGAAATTTAAAAAAGTGCATGCTCTGTTGGATATTGAAGAAAACAGCTTGGGGCGATTCTGAAGTCTACCTACCCAGAAATATGGGTATCGTTTTTGAAATGCCTGAAAATAGATGGACATCTGGACTAATCTTGTGACCAAATATAACTTAATGGAACTAGGACTGTCAAAATAACAAATTTGCTGGACGATAAACTGTCCAAGAAATGATTGCCATAACTTTTGATATTGTCATTTTGAGACCATTTTCAACTAATATAATAACATTGGCATATTATAGTTTCAGTATGTAACTTTAATAGAAAAAAAAATTTTGTTATGTATTTGCTGAAGCTGTCACTGTCGTGACTGTATAATATGAGACAGATGATCTGTGAAAAAACTCAAGTTCTGCTTCCTTCTCCCAGTGTTACCTTGGAAACAACCAATCAGAGGCAGGAGGAGAGTTTGAGCGCTTTCAATCATGCCAATTTGCAAACTTCTCATTTCCCCGTCAACAGAGCCTTGTTGTGAATTGTAAGGCTAGTCAGCATGGCCATCCATGATGGCGGATAAATGGTTTTCCTGTAATGATGAGTCGTTTCCCTACCATCAACACATTTAGCAGCACATTCACAAAGTTGATTGACAGTGCTAAGACCCTCCTTGTGGCTCTGATTGGTTGTTTTTCTCAGGAGCGGTGCATTTATTCAGGCGGCAATAGCAGCACAGCGAGGAGTTGGAGGAGATCGATCTTTTCATAGATCATCTGACTCATATTAGACAGCATGGCGACAGTTTTAGCAAATGTGTAAAAAAAAACAAAAAAAACACATTTTTTATATAGTTATATACTGCAGCTTTAATGCCAGTAGACATACTCAAAGATAAAAAAAAAACTTAATATCTAAAGAATATTTAGCACTAGAACTGCAAAATATTTAAAGTATCCATAAAAAAACTATTAAGATAGACTATGAAATTTATAACAAAAGATATTAATCATTATCAAAATAATGATTAATATATTAGACAGTTGAATAATTTAGTAAAATTGTCAGTTAGGGCTGTTGTATAAAATAAGTGAAGCTAACTACTTGGTACTAGATGTCAAATGTTTGCAGTGTTTTCCAAAATGCCAGCAGTTAAATGATATTAAAGCGGAGCATCTCTTTCATGATTGTTGTTTAATTTACCATGCAGTTATTTGATTTATTGCTCATTATGACAGGTTTAAATGGGGCAATATACATTTGATTTTGAGCCAAATAAATTACAAAGTATATTCAAAAAACTTGAAGAATTAACCAAAGATTCATAGGGAAATTGTCAGAAAAAAACAAAAAGCCCAGACCAATAAGTTTTCAGAAATGAAAGGATCTATGTGCTTTGAAAACCTGGGATTTCCATGGCTTCCTCCAGTTGCGGCATTATCTATATCAGTAAATAAAGAAATATTTTTTGGATACTGGATAGCTCCCAGTGAAAGTTAATTAAATTAATGTTAGAAGTGCAGATGAATTAAAAAATTATTTCCAAATTATTACACGCCCTTACAAATAAGGGCATGGTGTTTGTGCCCTTGTTTGAGAGGATGTAAACACCACAGATTACATAAGGGAGAAAAGGGAGAAGGAAGCAAATATTATGATCTGGGAAGAAATAAACGAATGTGAAACCACTAACTCCAAGATATGGAGAGAGCACGGATGGAAGAATGAGTCAAGATTCTTTGCAACACCCACACAAAGGGAATTCACAGATGCAAAATGTTGGAGCAGAAAGAGTGAATCACTGTCATATCTTTTTGGGGATCTCCAATTATTAAAACAACACTGGGGTGGGATAAAAAAGGGCCATGACTATGTAGTGAAAACAAATATCCCCTTTAGTTTTGAAACTATTTATTAAAAAAAAAAACGTTAAAAAGTTAATTGGTTTCTCTAAAATTCTCCCTAGGTGTGAGTGTGTGTTTGCATGTTTGTGTGTCCTGTCTGTCTCTGTGTTGCCCTGCGATGGACTGGCGACCTGTCCAGGGTGTACCCCGCCTCTCGCCCAAAACGTTCGCTGGAGATAGGCACCAGAGGAATTATGCTCTGAATATCTTGTTCTTTGAGCAAATGGCCTATTTTTGACCTTGGATGCTCCAGTTAACTATTAGTCAATTGCTAAATTTGAGGACGATATTTCAGTTGTTGAATGAATTGTTTCAGCCCTATTTTAAAATAAATGTAATTTGTTTACACTGTCTTTTCCTCTCGTCAGTCCCAAGAATCTCCGGATTCTTGTTTTGTTAGAAAAATTGTTTTCTACAATAAAAATCAATTCAGAATCAAATTGTGACCTTAAATATCGGAATTGATTCTCTAGACACTGAAAGATTCGCTCTCTACTGTTCAGTTATTGAACCATGCCATCCACTTCACTGTGGTGTGGTGGGCACCATTTTCCTTTTTGTTTCTTGTTTTTTTTACCCATACTTTCTAATACAGCACCAGCTACCACAGCTGTTGTTGAACTGGATGTCATCTGCCCCCCTGTCGCACATCCCGCTGCTCGGCACCTGGTCTTCCTCCCGGCCTGCTCCGATCCACGCAGCGTTTCTCAGACATCTTGAATGGAAACAATTTGCCTCACAAATGAGCCCTCAAAGTTGCTCCAAAGGATGCCCTTCGCGTTATCACCGTCTGGAATCTCTTTCTGAACGGATCGTTTGTTTTGCTGCAGCGTTCCAAGCACTGAAGGTCCCTTCACAATAAGTGCACACAAAGAGGCCTTGTCCTGCTTCCTCACTGTTCTCTGCTGATGACTTTTTGAATGGAGGTTTTTTTTTTCTGAATCTCCCAAGAATCTTCAAATCCAAATTGTTTTGGTGTTCTCCTTAAAGTCTCCAAAAGTGGCTTGAGGGCGAAGCCTGCAATTGAAAAGCAGTTTGCAGATGCTCACTCAGAAGAGGGGGAAAATGGGTCTGGGTAATTCTGTGTAATTGAGCTAACCATGTTCAACTTGTCTTCTGTTCAGCTGGGTTAGCTTTGATGAACTGATTAGATATATGAGAGCTTCCTAGAAGTTGATTCTAGCCTCTGCTTTTTTCTCCTTCTTCTTCTTTCCTTCCTTTGCTAATTGACAAATAGGTCAGTC